TCCACATTTTACTGCCATTTCTCTGCCCCATTCTCGTTCCATCTCCAATTCCCTTTTGCTAAAGTTTCACAATTATTCACATTAACTTTTTTTTTTTCCCCATTTTTCAGTCATTTTCCGCACTTTTCATCCCTTTCCAATGATTTTCATCCAATTATTTTCTCTTAAGGTCTCCCAAAGAGATTCCAGCTCCTTCCCAGCCCCTTTTCCTAATACCCAACCACTTCAATTCTGTTTTCCACCCCATTTTTGAGCCCTTTTCTCCACTTCCCACCACCTGAACCCACTCCACGTTTCCCAGACCAATTCTAAGTCCTTCCCAGCCCCTTTCCCTGATGCCCAACCATTTCAAACTCCATTTTCCACCCCATTTTTAAGCCTTTTTCTCCCCCTTTCCGCCACCTGACTTCACTCCATGTTTCCCAGACCGATTCTGAATCCTTCCCAGCCCCTTTTCCCAATGCCCAACCACTTCAAATTCCGTTTTCCACCCCATTTTCAAGCCCTTTTCTCCCCCTTCCCACCACCAGACCCCACTCCAGGTTTCCCAGATCGATTCTAAGTCCTTCCCAGCCCCCTTCCCCGATACCCAACCACTTCAACTCAGCTTTTTCACCATTTTTGAGCCCTTTTCTCCCCCTTCCCACCACCTGACCCCATTCCAGGTTTCCCAGACCAATTCTGAATCCTTCCCAGCCCCTTTCCCTGATGCCCAACCACTTCAAATTCCATTTTCCACCTCATCTTTAAGCCTTTTTCTCCCCCTTCCCACCACCCGACCCCACCCCAGCTCTTTCAGACCCACTCTGACCCCCCTCCCAGCCCCGTTCCCACTCACAGGAGCCGCTGTTGCTGTACTGGCTCTGCTGGCTGTAGCTCTGCGGGGCGCTGTATGAGGACTGCTGGCTGTAGGAGGGCTGCTGGCTGCTGTATGAGGACTGCTGGCTGTAGCCGGAGCTGGGAGGCTGCCCGTAGCTGGAGCTCTGCGAGCTGCCCCCATAGCTGTGGGGAAACAACGACGCACACTCAGCCCAAAGGGACCCCAAAACACCCAGCAAAACCAACAGGGCATCGTTAAGGAGTCGTGCTAACGAATTAATGGATCAGCTTTTAAGGAAAGCCTGCACCAGATCTCCTCTGGTTCTCTGTGTGGTTACGGCTGAGGACATCCAGCTCAGCACAAGGTTGGGGTTGGAAACATCCAACAGAGCAAAATTTGGTGTCAGAAACATCCAGTGGGGTTGGAATCATCCAACAAAGCAACATTTGGGGTTGGAAACATCCAACAGAGCGAAATCTGGGGTATGAAACATCCAATGGGGTTGGAAACATGCAACAAAGCTAGATTTGGGTTTGGAAACATCCAATGGGGTTGGAAACATCCCACAAAACAGAATTAGGTGTCAGAAACATCAAATTGGGTTGGAAACACCCAGGACAACAGAATTTGGGGTTAGAAACATCCAGCAGAGCAAAATCTGGGGTAGGACACAATCAATGGGGTTGGAAACATCCAACAGAGCAAGATTTGGGCTTGAAAACATCCAACAGAGCAAAATTTGGCATTAAAAACATCCAGTGGGGTTGGAAACGTCCAACAGAGCAGAATTTGGGGTTAAAAACATCCAGTGGGATTGGAAACATCCAACGGGGTTGGAAATATCCAACAGAGCAAGATTTGGGGTTGGAATCATCCAACGGGGATGAAAGCATCCAACAAAAGTAGATTTGGGCTTGGAAAAACCCAAGAGAGCCAATCTTTGGGGTTAAAATGCCCAACAGAGCCAATCTTTGGGGTTAAAACACCCAAGAGAGCCTATCTTTGGGGTTAAAGCACCCAAGAGAGCCAATCTTTGGGGTTAAAACACCCAAGAGAGCCAAACTTTGGGGTTAGAATGCCCAAGAGAGCCAAAATTTGGGGTTAGAATGCCCAACAGAGCCAAACTTTGGGGTTAAAATACCCAAGAGAGCCAAAATTTGGAGTTAAAAACACCCAAGAGAACCAATCTTTGGGGTTAGAATGCCCAACAGAGCCAAAATTTGGGGTTAAAACACCTTCAGATGGAGCCCATGTAAGAAAAGCAGCATCAAAATGCATCATAAACACTGAAGTTT